CAGAAGGATGTGGGTTATAAGGCATTTGCGCCGCAAAATAGATCGTAAGACATTAGCGTGTGCACCGATAACACACTTGCAGCTTTTTGTTTTACATTTTGTTATTGTTCACAGCTGCTTGGCGCAATTTTTTAATAATAATTCTTTTCTTGCTTTATAAGAGAAAGAGAAAGAAGAAGCATTTTTCCCTCTATGATTTTCTTTTTCATTTATGATTAATATATTCTTTAGATTATAAATAAAGAAGCTTAAGGCGCTAATCAAAGCGACGCTTTCCCACATTTATTTGTACCATTTGTACACATGCGTCCTTGTGAGAGGTAATCTCGATCAGCGTTCAATGCGTACTTTTACGAGAGATATCCATCTTGCCTACGAGAGGAGAGAGTTGGAGCGCTCGAGCACGATGGACGATGAAGTCCCGACGTAGGCAAGTCGCGGCGCAATACGCGAACACAATGTTGCTGCAGACACGTGCAGCAACCTTTGATATTCACCGGCCGTGCGCGAGCAACCGGGCTCCACCTAAACAAGAGAAAGAGAGCCGTATCTCTTTGAGATACACGGCGCATTTTCCGTGCTTGACTTTCTCTCTTTCTCCATCTCTCTGTCCCTTTCCCTCGCTCTTTCTTTTTCATTCTCATTCTTCCTTTTCGCGAAATGCACGTCAACCGCGGGACGTAAAATATTTCAGAGGCGGTTTAAAGGCTGCGGTGGGAAACCTCACAGAAACGCTCGCGGTATGCGAAGCGGATTAGAGAAAGAAGCTACGCGTTGCGTCAAGTTCTTGGGTGCGACGAACACGATGAATAATTGCCGATCCATCAATGGCTTCACGCGTATTTGAGATCTATCCGTCTGTTAAATCGCGATAGTGTCGAATTACGGATTTGCGCGAGATGCGGCAATGCGATGATAATTAATATCGAAATGAATCTTGAGAAAAACTTATCAGAATGGCAAACGTAACTCGCGAAAAAAGAATTTTAAAAGAACGATACATCCTCGTGATGAAAGGCGATTATTTAGTTATTACAATTCACAAAATATGTTCTAATAATTAACTCGTTTAGCGACCGTAGTTTAATTTGTTGTTTGCATCATATAGCGCATTCCCGCCTCTGTTAGCTGAAATATTTAATTTCCATTAAAGGCAAATTAATTATTCGATGCACTTTCAATATGTCACACACAAAATGTGATTTTCGCATCGTATATTAGAACTCGCTGTGTATGATGAGTTATTAAATTTTTATAATTAATAAGAAAGTGGCTTATAATAATAAATTTGAAGGAGCATCAAACCACTGCACAGGTTGTTTTTTGTGATATTTAATATATTAAAATTATTCAAATTTAAATTAGACGTTTCGGCCAACATCTGGCCATCTTCAATAATTATAACATTAATCGCGTATTGGACACATAAATTATAACAATAAAATCGCAGTCATATATTTAATAAAAAAACACGCAATTATCGCCTTATTCGTATTAAATTTTTACCTATTCTATTCATCCGTGTTACATTCGTTTTCTTATTCCATGCGAGATGAAAATCTTCTTACGCTCGTTTCTATCAATGTAAATTAACTTTAATCTCGGTTCAACTTACTCTTCATCTTTATCTAATTCTTAGAATTTGAAAAAAATGAAGAATTAGTTGAACCGAGATTAAATTACATTGGAAGAAACAGACATTAAATCTAGTTTTTCATTTTCTGGTTAACTTATGGTTTAGACTTAATTTTACTTAATCTAATGATAATGTGTAAAAATGTATGTTTTGTGGAAATGTCCACTAAGGAGGCCTGACTCGAAGCTTTGTGATCGGCCGCAGCGTTTCGTCCTGGGTCCCACACTACTAGACTCATCAGTAAGGCGATGTAGTGTGGGACTTGCCTTAGACGCCTGGAATGAATCCAGAATGATATTCTATTTAAATGGAATTTGGCGCGGTGCTTACGCGAACCGAGTGAGTCCCGTGGACCTCTAGTGGCGAGTCGCCACAGTTTTTTAATTATTATTACCAAACTGATGGTTTCATAGTGGCAATTTCCAAAGTTCTCTACACTACAAAACCATCAATTCAATGATTAATAATAGAAAAATATAATTTTTACATTACCATTAGATTGAATCTAACCATAAATCCATCAGAAAATGAAAAACTGGGCCTTGTTACGATAATTTAAATCACACGTGTATTGTGACTTTCGGACGAGTTCGAAAATATTATGAACAATACGTTCGAGGATTAGAGGTACGTGGAACGCTTAACAATTAACGGGGGGGTTTACAGAGTATTAATAATTCACGCGATTCATGAATTAGTTAATATCGATTAATGGCACCGCACGTAAATACGTAGTGTAAATGTAACATCGCCGTAGGTTTGCGACAGTTTTCATCTCTTTTTTATTTTCTTTCTTCGCTCGACGGCGCAGCGACGCGTCGCGAGACGTCCCGCACTTGCATTCCCGTCGGACGTCACGCGTCCACTTGGTAATAAAGCGCGGCGAATTGGGTCGCTTGATACGGCACCCGGCAGCAGTCAATAAAGGGAGATTCCACGGGATTTATTGTGCGCTCAAACGTCGATGCACACTGCGCCTAGACGCGAACGCGCCGCGACCGAGTCAGGTACACCGAGAACAATTAGGCTAACAATGACTCTTAAACGGCGTCCGGGTCACGGCTCCCCGGCGTTACGCCTCCTATTTCTACGTGCTTTACGAGTAGTACGTACTTTTTATGGTCGATTGCGCGATAATAACATTGCTGAATGAGAAATCCAAGTTTTAAAAAATTGCAATTAATACGCGTGCACTTGTTTTACATTTTGTCCTCTTGTTTCCTTTTTTTCAGATACACTTTAACGTTTGTAAACTAGTGATTGTGTGAGCAATTAATAGCGTTGAAATTTCAGTAGCCATTGTGGAGTAGACATTAAATTAAATTAAAAGACTGTGAGTTTAAAATCAGAGTCACAAGTAATAAAAAAATGTATTTTTTATAGTTAAATAAACACATAACACATGCAATATCAAAAGTAAATTGCTGCAGTAATAAAGGTGAGCAGATGAATAAAAAAATGAGAAGAGGATTTCGGCATTTTTATATTCGTAAAATAATGCTTTAACTCTTATACTTTTCAATCTCAACGCCTTTGATTGATGTTGTTAATGGCATAGATTACAAAGTATCGAAAGGCAGGTCGATAAGTATCGCCCTACCGAATTGCTAATAAGCGACCGATTTCGTGATCTCTCCGACGATCTGCCATCCGCGTTTAACTTGTTTATTGTTGGCGTAACGACGACGGGATGAGGAAGGGGGATCGATTGAGACGTCCGCTCCTCGGAACACGCCAGCCCTAAGGGCTCCAGCTAATTGCTATAATTAATTGCGTGATTGCTATAGTTAGATCGATCCGGATTGCCAGTTAGAAGAGTGTAGCTTCTGCCACTATAATGATACAGTTACAAAGATACCTATATTGGCTTGACGATTGTTCCGGCTCGATTGAGAAACGCGTCAACCAGAAAAGTTGCAAAATCTGACTATTCTTCCTATCCGTTCTATTCTTTTTATTATTTCTTGTAATCTTACAATTTCAATATTTTATATATATACAGTTATATTTTTAATAATTATATAATTTTATTAATTTTAATTTGTAATTTCACTAATTTTTATTTTGCACACGTGCATAGACATAAATATTGTTTAATATTCTACAATTCAATATTTTTATAATTTTCAAAATTTATCTCTATGATTTCTTTATTAGTTTAATTTTCTTAATCAATCTTTATAATTCTACAATATGTTTCCTCAATTTATAACATAATTTTGCAATTTTTTTGAAAGACTACTTTTTTTACTATTATGACAGCACTAGTATGATTAGTTTTCAATGACGCAACGACGAAGTAGAAGAATGTTTAACGAGAAATCGGTACAGCGTCTGAAAAAAGCAAGGCGCTTAACTATTCGGCGAGGAAGAAAAAAAATATCGGGTGAAGCGGCGGTGCGTTTTTACGACACGGTAGGGCCTCGGCTTTTTATGCCGGATCGGAACATTAAACCGCCATCTCTTTAAAAGCACTGTATTTCTTTCATCGACATTTGCGGTCCGACTGAGTTACAAACAGAACTTGTAACTTTCACATTCTATGAGTTCTCTACAGTCAACTCGGGCAATCGAAGGCGTTTATTGAGCGCGGCGTGCGCCAACTCTTCCTGCAGCCGTCAAATAATTTCGGTGTACAACACTTTGGAGTTTCGCGGAGTAAATTGCAGATTAAAAAAGATCGCGCCTCGCTATTTTCCGTGAGAGGTCTGTTATCGAGCTGAGAAATATGATCCATGGCACCTTTGGGAAAAATCATCGACAGCCGCGTCGTACGTGTGATAATAACACGTTGCGTGGCGATACTTGTGGTTTAATGATTAGGGGTTCGCGTTAACGCGCCACAACGAAATTACAACGTCACGGGATAGAGCATATGTCTTCGCGAAAAAGAAAGAAAGTGCGAAAAATCGCAAAATCGGAGGACTTATGATTAACTTCCCTCAGTATCTTTTATGTTTAATACTAACCTTTCTTAACAATTTCGCTAGGCGTCCTCGCTGAAACTTCGACAAGGTCTGAAAAAAAATTGGAAAATTAAATAGGATTATCTGTAGTCTAGCTATAGTTTAGAAATACGGAAATTTTCCTCCCCCGCGAAAATTCCGCCGTGACGTAAACTCGCAGCTGACACCTGGACAAAGGATGTTTTAGTCCCACGGTTTTAGTTTGCTATTCAATATAGAATCGTTAATGTCACTTTTTATATTTTGATTTTAAGGGAATCGAGATACATTTTTTCTAATGGATATTTATATCTCTTTATGGCGCAGGAATAAGCTCTTCGACACTTTGGACACCCACGCGCTCATTATCCGTCCTTTCATCAGTACACCAGCACTAAATCTGTATTATGCCCTTCTAGGCGATACGGCACCAAGTGCGGCGGTTGCCTCCAAGGGATAAACCCGCAGGACCTTGTGAGGAAAGCAAGGGACAAAGTTTTCCACCTGAATTGCTTCACCTGCCTGGTGTGTCGGAAGCAGATGAGCACGGGCGAGGAGCTCTACGTCTTGGACGACAACAAGTTCGTTTGCAAGCAAGACTACCTGTCGGGCAAACCGCTGCCGGACACGCATCACGTGCACGGTCATCACGGTGAGCCAAAACTACCCCCCTTTCGTTATTATCTTCAGTCATCTCGTATAACAATATTATCTCGACACGATCACATTATCTCACTTATTTATACATGTTTAAATCCTGTGACAAAAAAGCGACGAAACAAAGTTAATTTTTGCATAATAAATTCGCGTGTAATTCGTGCAGGAAATTAAATTGCAGCTACGTCAAATAATTAGATTCTTCTATTATCCACGATGGAGTTAATAAATAATTCTACGATCGAAATAGCAAACAGAATCGAGAAAGTAAAGTTAGTCCACGAAGAGGAGGCACTTTGGAGTATCACAGTTCGTCTGTGTACACTGTCCGCTCCGTTTACAGATCGATTCGTCGTGGGATTTAAATTTAAACGATATCCTGAGAATCCACATGGTCTCCGTGTTTGTCTATACTTATCTATTACGAATCGATATCGTGACTAATCTCGCGTTGCTTTTAATCGTTGATATTCGATAATATAATCGCGATATTTTAGAAATATTCAGCTTACATGTATAAAATTTGATAACTATTTCATACATTTAATTAATTTTTTTAAGTCGAATGTAGGGGAGACCGGGGCAAGTTGTTACAATTTTTGATTAGCAATTTTTTTCATTCTAATGTATACATTTAAATTAATGAATACCTATAATATGCATTGTGCTTCAAGTATATCTTTATCTAGATAGTCAATTTTTTCTGATTTGTATCTATGTCTTTAAATACTAAAATTAAGATTTTCTATCAGTAGGTAAATTTTGTAGTGTAACAATTTATCTCACTGTAGGGCAAGTTGTTACATTTACAATATCACTTGAAATATATAT